TATTGAAAAAATCTGCCTTGATTGCCTAATTTATAATTCACCTAACCACAAAACTAGAACATGCATGTATAAGTGGTAGCAAAACAAAAGATGTGATGGACAATAATGTAAATGCAGTTAAACGCTCATCCACAAGATGCCAACTTCTCTCACAGACGAGCAGTAAAGCAACTTGTATTGTGTGAAACTGAACCTTTAAAACCAGTTATTTCCCATGTATACATAAATAGTTGGTATGATTGTTCTCATGTCTTTAATTGCTTGGGGTGTATGACTTGGAATTGAAAATGATGTCCTTTCAACACCTGTATTAAAATGTCTAGAGGCACATACTGATATTAAAGTATTTTGCTGAAGCCGTTGCTGAAGCCGGTGACGTCCCTTTGCAAACATAACTGCTACTCTACTAAAGACAACATGGTCATTACTTACATTACCAAATGTGATATTCTGAAAGGTAAACATCTACATAATTCCAGGGTAGATTACAGCTCAATTATTGCTGTAAAAGAAGATATTGATAAAGTGTAGACACCCCTGCTTTAGAAATTGTAAAAAGAAATAACAAAACCATGCAGAGATTGAGAAGCCAAATGAAGATTTGAAGAGGCAATCGACATTTGAACAGGGGATAAAGTGCGATTAATTCCAAAATGAATCATCAGGCCTTATTGTATGAAAGCTCAACTTTTATTTAAAAAAACACCCATATGTGTCTCATTCATAGATTATAGAATAAAAATGTGCAAATACGTTTCAGGCCAAATATCCAAGAACTTGTGTTAAAAAACTACCTTATCTGGAAACATGACGTCCCTACTGTATATCATACACACTTTCCCGCTGCCCTATTTTGACTGTTACCATAGGAACACAATCTGATACAGTGTTTTCTTGCACCTATGCCGCCTCCATCTGTTTACAGTGATCCAACGAGATATCGGATCAGCCTGGGAGACAAACATGCACTTGATAGTTGGCGGTATTGAAAAAGTGAAGAGACGCAAGAAAGTGCCTGGGACAATAGGAAAACAGATCCGAAAATCAAAAGCCTGACTCAGAGCAGGCAGAGGCAAACGTGTAACTTTAAAAAACTGTAAGTGTCAAGAGGCTCTAAGATCTTGAGATAGATTTTTTGTACAAATTTCCCTAAGAAGGGGAGAATGGGGTGAGTGAAAATGGAACTCATTTTGCTGCGAATTACGGAAGTGATGTTCTTATTATGTATGACTGCAATGTGACAGCAGGGATGTTAAGATGATCTAGAATAGAATATATATTATTATGTCCTGGTAGAAAGTCTTTTTTGGCACAGCTCCATCCATAAAAACGGAGGACAACACGGAGAAAGCATCAAAGTAGCAGCCACATAAAGTGCATTATATATGAATCCATTTCTGTGGCTCGTAGGTTCCACCTCCTGTAGAATTCACATTGTCCACAGCACAAGGGACGAAAGGCTTTGTAAAAATGGACTTTGTCATGTGTGGAACTCCATATTGTCTCCTGCAGTGCCAAAGTTCAAGCTGTGAGTTGAGAGAGTTGGGAAGTTTGACACTATATTCTTGGGGTTAGTCCTCTCCACACATCTGCCACAGAGTTTCTGTTGTACTTGAGAGGTTTAACTTGTGGATTTGTTCAAGACCTTTGTACCGACCTATTGGATTCAGGCTTGCCACCCATAGTGGGTTGAGGCCCACCTCATACTGTGTTAGAACATGTGCCAATAAATTGAAATTTATCATATAATATATCTCCTCACATTCATTAAATGCATCGATCGGTGGAGGTCAGTTGGCTGCACTGTTGCTTCTCACCATTAAATGTGTATTTCAGGCAGCGGCGAATCAATGTTTCCACAAGTGTAGTGCTAATGAACCTTGTGTCTACTGACTTAAACTGATGTGTGTCTGAATAGGTTGCTAATAATGTGTGTTTGAAAAAGTTACAAACAAGTTTAGAACATTCTTCTACAGTATTTCCATGTAGTGAAGTGGGTGCCACTGCCAAGCCAAATTCCTTCTTCACAAAAATATTTGAAATAAATCACTTGAAAAAGTTGGCAGAATATATTCCTGTTGAAAAAACAAATAAAAAGCTACGGCTTACACAGGAGCAAAATCTCAAACGAGACAGTCTCAATTCAACTTGTCAGGAGAAGATGGAGGGAGTTAATTATGTGTTCTAAGTTGTTAAGCTAACTTCATTAGCACATGGCCAAGGCTTGAAGAAGAGGGAGATAAGGCTGTTATTAATCCGCTGCACACTGTCTTTTAGTATTAATTGTGTTTGATGAACCTGGGAATGCCTTTAAGTGTTGTGTAATCGCTGAATGATTAGAGCAGACCTGTGAGGCAGAGCTGTGAGAACGTGTCTGCTCAAAATAGCTCTGCACGAAAAGCACATGCCAGTCCACTTAGAGACAAGATTAAACTAGATGTTTAAACAACTATTATTTTGTCCTTGTGGCTATGTCTGTGTGCAGTCGTGCAAAGCAGCTTATTAATTATAAAACCAGTGAAAAATAAGAACTAATGTTCACAAGTAGTATGTTTTTTTTCTTGTCTGGTGTCTCAGGCTCAGGAATCTACTAAATACATGTCTTTTTTATACAGTTGAAACTTAGAGGCTTGATTCCACAGGGTATACCGCCAGCTGCCTGACATTTTAGAATTCTCTGTTCCTTCTAAAGGTTGAAGAATGTAGTTACTTTGTGAAGTAATATAGACATAATTTGCGTCATTCAAGCAATGTCCTCTAACAGCTCTGTAGGGAACAGCCGAAACTACAAAAATAACCACGGGCATAAATTAGAAAGAGGAAAAGGATGTGAAAGAAATAGGACAAACAGCTCAACATTTTTGGCCTATATGTACAGTTCAAACATTCTAATCATAGGTATTTGTCACAATTTCAATTTCTAGAATAATACAATGTCCAAAATCTGTAAAGGTCCATTTACTTCTGTATTTCAACTTACAGCCACAAACGTATGACAGACCTACACGCAGAGTGAGAAATGTTAAGCCTTCATTTGTTATAATGTCAATAATTGGCTCACAACTAAAGAAAAAACCCCAAAATAAAACATCTCAGAAAATAAACTGAAAAGGGACTGTGAGCCTGCAGTACATTCAAAATGCAGCAGCTCGAGTCCTGACTAGAACCAGGAAGTACGACCACATTAGTCCAGTCCTCAGGTCTCTGCACTGGCTTCTTGTGGCTCAGAGAATAGTCTTTAAAACAGCTCTGCTTGTGTACAAGTCTCTCCATGGCCTCTTAATTTGAATCCGAACATGTTGGTGCCGTTTGAACCAACTCAGACTCTGAGGAGCACAGGGATCTGCCTCCTGCTGGGACTCTGAGGAGCACAGGGACTCAGCTACTGCTTATGCCCAGAGTCAGGACTAAATATGGTAGAAAACATTTCAGATTCATCAAGTTGAAATCTGGAACAGTCTTCCTGTAAACGTGTGAGACAGAATTCTACTCTGACCATGTTCAAAAGCAGGTTAAAAACACATTCTATTTTGCTGTGCATACAACTGAATGCTTTTAATGTACTTTGATTATTAATTATTCTAATGCCATCTGTAGGAATGAATTTTCTTTGATGTCCTGCTATTGATGGCAGGTCATTGAATATTTTCACTTGGTTTGAGCCCATTATGTGAAGCAACGAGATTTGTAACAAGATTTCTCTTCTTGTTACGTTAAACACTTTGAGTTACCTTGTGTATAAACTATGCTATAATAAACTTGCCATAATCATCCGAGTTATATCAAACTTGGCATATGTCACTTTGCATGTAATGAGTCTACTCTTATATTGGTTTCACATTTACACACATTTTCACAATTACAGTTGAATTACAGAAATAAATACACTTTTGAACCATATTCTAATATTCCTGTTTCACCTGTATATCCATGTCCGTGTTTTGAAATTGGGAAAAACTTGTTTTTAATATATTATAACATATTTATATTCATGCCGGGGCAGGTTGCACATTTTTAAGCCTGTGCGGACATACATCCGACAAAAACGATGCCAGTGTGTCCCATCTGTGGAGAGGATGCCTGTAATGATAACAATTCATCCCTTTGTCTGATGCCATCCTTTAGATTGCCTTTCTCCTCTCCACCTCTCCATCTATCAGCTCCGATCCCATTTTCATGACAAACAATACGACGCACACTCTCGCTCCATCACAGCCCTCTGTATCTGTCAGTGCAGAAGTGGAGGTGGTGGGGGAGTCGGGGGGAGTCAAAGCGGTGGTGGTAGTGGTGGGGGTGACAGGAAATGAATAGAAAATAGTGTGAATATCTAGGGAGTTTGAAGGATTACCGCAAAGAGGTCTGAAGTGTCTGTGGAGTGTGGTTCGGTTATCTCCCAGCTGAACTCAAAAAATACACTTTATTCTATCACTTCTCACACATCTGCTCTTCTGCGGCCCATACACATTACACCTGCAGTTCATCGGGGAGAGGGAACAGTGGGGGAGTGTTTAATTGACTTCAAACCACAAGAGGAACAAAACTTTTGTGTTTTCCTACTAGTGTTCCTCCGTCTCTTTACGGTATACAGTAGATATTACTCTTTGCGAAAGAATAGACTGTACCAAGAATATTATTTAATTATGTCTGTAAAAGTTTACATTCACAACAATTACAAGAAAAAAAAATCTTTTTTTTCTTTTTATTTATGCCATTGGACCTGTGTGTTTTCATGTTCATTTGTTGTTGTTGTTGTTGTTTTTGTTAATGAATACAAATGTCCTCATGCTTCTTGTATGAACGATCACTTTTACACTCAGGTACAATGGAAAATGCAGATCAGATATTTTAGACATGAACAATGGTAGAGGAAATTAAATAGTTAATAATAATAATTATATAATATAAAAGACGCTGAGGACACTAATGTGACTTTTTACCTGATGATAACTCTGGCCTCGGTCTCAGCTCTGTTCATTATCAGTATCATTGTGCTGATTGCAATGCAGTGCTCCAAGTCCAGCACTGACTACACCTCCAAGTACTTACAGGACACAAACTATGACGGGACTCTGTGCCACAGCATCCAGTACAGATCTGGAGACAAGCGCTACATGTTAGTGGGACCCAGAATGAGCGTAGGCTCCACTATAGTCCCAGGGAGCCAAGCCAACACACTAGTGCTGCCGGACAGGAGGAGGCCTTCTGAGGAGGTAAGAGTCAAGTAATTGCGATTGGATAAAAGATGGAAGTTATTTATTAGCCTACATTTGATCTTCCTGCTTTACATTTGAATCGAACATGTGTGTTTAGGGTATTGCATTGGTTACAAATGGTTTATTATCGGTTTAAACTTTTCAGGCGACAAAGTGGCTCAGTTGCGAATTTGGATTCTGACTTTCACTTTATCTACAGATACACTTTTTTGCATAAAAAAAGTCTATTTACATGTTCATCAATAAGAAACGTATCAGATTGTATGTTTACTTCTAACTGGGTATTCTTCCTTCTCTCATAATATTTCTGACTTTAGTTTGAAACATATTTTCGTCATTATTGCATATTGATATAGTGCGTGTTGTACAGTTCAAACAGAAGTATTATTCCACGGGAGAAAAACAACAGAAAAGATTTTTTATTCAAAGAGAATACATTCTAGAACGGTAGACTAAGGTTTCTGAGCTCTCTCACACATAAACATAAATGGCCCGATAGCGCCACCTGTTGGTACAGCGGTGACACTGAATATTTATTAGTTATGGTTTTTAATTCATGACAATGCAATGTCACGTGTCCAGTGTGTTAAACAGCACCGTGAATTAGCTTTAACCGTTTAGAAATACAGAGGAGTGTTCCTTTACTCTATTGTGTGTTTTCACGAACGCTGTCCATGGTGCTGAATGAGACAGTATTTCAGTTGCACCTTGTTGTTTAAATGTTTTCCTGCTTTGTTTTCTAACTATTAGTTAAAGGCTGGGCTCGATGTTGTTCATATTAATATTGTTATAACATATTAAATCAGCTCTTCCTTCTTTGGCCTCACGGTGGCAGTCTCCAACAGACAAACATCTCCACTTGTTTGTCCCTCCTCTCGCAGCGCTTTGTTTCCATTTTACTGAAGCGGAGAGGTCACTTGTGCGTAGCGTTATGCGGACTATGCTTTTTGTCTCATGTTTTTATTTCAATAGATGCTTTTAAAAGGGATTTTAGAGGAAAATGAAGCGGTCTTTTCTACCAGGGATCTGCTCTTGGATCGGTTTGTGCTCAGTTCTGCTGCTGTGTTTCGGACAGTGCGCTGTGGCTCAGATCAGATACTCTGTCCCGGAGGAGGTGAGGGACGGGACTGTTGTTGGAAATGTCGCAAAGGATCTTGGTCTGGATGTGTCCTCTTTGCGTGAAAGACGGTTCCGTGTTGTTTCTGAATCAAATGAAGATATTTTTGCAGTAAACGCAGATGACGGCGCTTTGTACGTCCACGGCCACATTGACAGAGAGCAGCTGTGTCAGGGCAGCGGTACGTGCCTGATGGAGCTGAAGGTTCTGGTAGAAAACCCTTTGGAAGTTCATTATGTGGTTGTAGAAGTCACTGACGTCAATGATCACGTTCCCACTTTTCCTAAAGGAAACGAAACTATAGAAATAGCAGAACAAACACCGTCTGGAAAAAGATTCCAGCTTCACCCTGCTAATGATCCTGACGCAGGAGTAAACTCTATTCGAACCTACACGTTGTCTGCTAACGGACATTTTGACATCAATATCCGCGAAACTGATGGTGAAAAAATCCCATTTCTGGTACTGAAAAAAATGCTGGACAGAGAACAAAGCAGTGAGCATTTTCTGGTGGTGACAGCAGTTGATGGAGGTAAACCCCGAAGATCAGGGACACTGAATGTTTCCATTATTGTTCTTGATAGTAACGACAACATACCAGTTTTTAGTCAAGAGATTTATGAAATTACAGCGAAAGAAAATTTAAAACCAGGAGCCTCTATTTTTAGGCTCACAGCAACAGACCCAGACGAAGGAACAAACGGAGAAATTGAATATAGTTTGTCAAAATCAATGAAACAACGAATATATGATATTTTTGAACTAGACACAAACACAGGGGATATTATTGTCAAAGGACAGATCGATTATGAAGAAAAAAATAATTATGAATTAGAAGTTCAAGCGTCAGATAAAGATATGCCTCTATTGACAGGAGAATGTAGAGTAATAATAAAAATCCTAGATGTTAATGATAATTTCCCTGAAATAGAAGTGACCTCTTTGTCAAACACAGTGTCTGAAAACTCCAAACCAGGGACAGTAGTTTCTCTCATCCGCGTCAAAGACAAAGACTCTGGAGTGAATGGTAAAATCATCGCTCACATCACAAACAACGTGCCTTTTGAGCTCAAACCCTCGTACAAAGAAAACACATATTCAGTTGTCACTAAAGACTTCCTGGACAGAGAGAAGGTTTCTAATTATGACATAAGAATAAAAGCCACTGACTGTGGAGAGCCTCCTTTATCCACCACTAAAACTCTCAGTATTCAGATATTAGATGTGAACGACAACAGTCCACAGTTTGAACACAATCCTCTGTACTTTTATATAGTAGAAAATAACGCGGCAGGGACGTCCCTGTTCTCTGTAACTGCAACAGACAAAGATAAGAATGAAAATGCAGATGTTTCCTACAGCATTGCGCGTTCAGGACAAGAGAAGGACGTGGCGCTCTTTTTAAATGTGAACGCTGAAAATGGTCAAATCACGGCCCTGAAAAGCTTTGACTTTGAGACTTTAAAGTCGTTCCAGTTTCAAGTGGTGGCCTCAGACTCTGGGACTCCGTCACTGAGCAGCAACGTGTCAGTGCATGTGTTCATTCTGGACCAAAACGACAACGCTCCAGTCATTCTGTATCCAGTCAGCTCTAATAGTTCGGCTGAAGGAGTGGAGGAGATCCCCCGCAATGTGAACGCAGGACACTTGGTGACTAAAGTCAGGGCCTATGACGCGGACATCGGATATAACGGCTGGCTGCTGTTTTCACTGCAGGAAGTGACTGACCACAGTCTGTTTGGCTTGGACCGCTACACAGGACAGATCAGGACACTTCGCTCATTCACAGAGACAGACGAGGCCCAGCACAAACTCGTCATACTGGTCAAAGACAATGGCAACGTGTCGCTCTCAGCTACAGCTACTGTGCTTGTCAAAGTGGTGGAGGCCAGAGAGGCGTCTGCAGCTTCTGACGTGAAGAGCTCCGCTAAAGACGCTGAGGACACTAATGTGACTTTTTACCTGATGATAACTCTGGCCTCGGTCTCAGCTCTGTTCATTATCAGTATCATTGTGCTGATTGCAATGCAGTGCTCCAAGTCCAGCACTGACTACACCTCCAAGTACTTACAGGACACAAACTATGACGGGACTCTGTGCCACAGCATCCAGTACAGATCTGGAGACAAGCGCTACATGTTAGTGGGACCCAGAATGAAGCGTAGGCTCCACTATAGTCCCAGGGAGCCAAGCCAACACACTAGTGCTGCCGGACAGGAGGAGGCCCTCTGAGGAGGTAATTACATGTTCCACCCTTTTTTGACGCATGCAATTCATATATATACACTTTACCCCCTCATACATTGACATATTTAATGAGCTCCAAATGCATATTGTGCAATAATGATTTTTTTGTTCAGTTTTAACATCTTCTCCGACTGCTTTACAATCCTCTCAGAACACCGAGGTTGTGTTTGTGAGAGAAAAGTATTAGTGACGCAGTTCGGCGGAGGGATTTGTTTGTTTGTTTTTTCAAGCCTATATTGCTTTTTAAATTTGCTAACTATGGTGCTGATTTAAGTTTTTAGTTGTCCTAGATACTTTTTTTTTCTACTGGTATTTATTATTATATATTTTTTTACACCTATAAACACTTTTAGCTCCTTTATAATTTACATTAGTTGGGCGAACAATTGCAAGTTTATTAAAGTATGTTCTACTTGTCATCATCTTTTTGAGCCCATCTCCAATGGCCCACGGACAGACACACATGAGCTTGGGAAAGCACTGGTCATGTGCGCAGTGTGTCCGATACATATGTCACATCTTTTAAAGGCTATGAGGGTGCAGCTTTCATGGTATTAAAGACATCGCCTTGTTCCCCTTTCTTACTGATTTCTTTATATGTAAATGCTCTAAGTCACGTAATAGCACGCACTCGTCCAAAATACAAATGACCAACAGTGAAAGCAACTTAAAAATGGATTTATTATTACGTTGACATTAATGACACCAAAACTCAAAACCTGCATGAGCCCAATCCACTTTGAAACTCTGGAATGCAGAACCAACAAACGGCGCATGGTGTCGGTGTGCGAACGGGCATTGCTGCGCCTTGTATCTACATTCAGACCGCCCCTTCACAACACCGTCTGTCAGTGAGAGCCTGTGTAAGAAGCTAATGGTTTGTCATTTTAATACCTTGAATACGTGAATGGACTGATACATTATTTTCCTATCCGACTTGTGCGGATCCGGTCGCGGCATCTGAGCGTGGATTTTATTATTTTTCATTAATATTGTGAAGATGCTGCTGCGGATGGAACAAAGAGCGTGTCGTGCACAAAAGGGACTTCTGCTGACTATAGTCGTGTCTATTGCTCTCTCGTGGAACTATACCTTTGCGCAGATTGGATATGCGATATTGGAAGGAGTTAAGGAAGGAACAATTGTGGGGAATGTCGCCAAAGACCTGGGATTAGAAAAAGGAACCTTAAAAGAAAGGAAATACCGGATTGTGACTGACGAAAAAGATTCCCTTTTCCAAGTGAATGCAGAAAACGGTGTCCTATACGTCAATCGTGAAATAGACCGCGAGGAAGTATGTGACGGGAGCAATACCTGTTTTTTGAATCTAAAAACTGTACTTGAAAATCCACTCGAGATTCATTATGTTTCTGTAGAAATACTGGATGTGAATGATAATAATCCAACCTTTCAATGGAAAGAAAAATATATAGATACTTCGGAGTCTGTTGCGAGTGGAAAAAGCTTCTTATTACAAGCAGCAAAAGACCCCGACAGCGGCGTGTTTTCTGTGCAGCAATACAAACTCAACGTCAACGAACATTTCGGCTTAGATGTAAAGGACAAGGGGAAAGAGGGTAAAGTGCCCGTTTTAATATTACAAAAGCAATTAGACAGGGAAGCGGTAGGTAGGCATTCTTTGCTACTGACAGCCATAGATGGGGGGAAACCACCTAAGTCTGGTGAGATAAACATTATAGTAAATGTATTAGATGTTAATGACAACGCACCCGTATTTACAAAGGATAATTATCACGCGGAGCTGCTGGAAAACTCCCCCGTTGGTAAAACAGTGATTCAAATGAACGCAACAGATTTAGACGAAGGTCCAAACGGAGAAGTGGTGTAAAGGTTTAGTGACAGCATAATGCAGGAGGTACTTAACACATTTGATATAATTACAACAACGGGGGAAATAATAGTTAAAGGTGAAATTGATTTTGAACAACATCGTGAGTATGAAATAGAAATAGAAGCTAGAGACAAAGGCCTTCCCCCACTAACTACAGAACAAAACGTGGTAATAAAAATAGTAGACGTGAACGACAATGCGCCTGAGATTGAAGTCACTTCATTTTCCAGCTCCATCCCTGAAGACTCTCGGCCCGGGACTACTGTTGCTCTGATCAGTGTTAATGACAGGGACTCTGGGCTGAACGGGAAAGTCACATGTTCAATAGAAGGAAATGTTCCCTTTACACTGTCTCCTTCTCTACAGGACAAAATGTTTTCACTCGTGACTAAATCTGCTCTGGACAGAGAGACGCAGCCTCAGTACGTACTGTCTGTAGTTGCCAAAGATCACGGTCAGCCCTCACTCACTTCTGAAAAGAACATTTTAATTGTCATTTCTGACATGAACGACAACAGCCCAGAGTTTGTGCTGAAACCATATAGTTTTTATATCACTGAGGGCAACGACCCAGGGGCGCAGCTGTTTTCAGTTCAGGCTGTGGATCAAGATGAAGGAGAAAACTCTCATATTTCTTATCATCTTTACAGAGACGGAAGCAAGGAAAATAAAGTGACTTCATTTCTCAATATTAACAGTGAAAATGGTCAAATCACGGCCCTGAAAAGCTTTGACTTTGAGACTTTAAAGTCGTTCCAGTTTCAAGTGGTGGCCTCAGACTCTGGGACTCCGTCACTGAGCAGCAACGTGTCAGTGCATGTTTTCATTCTGGACCAAAACGACAACGCTCCAGTCATTCTGTATCCAGTCAGCTCTAACGGTTCTGCTGAAGGAGTGGAGGAGATCCCCCGCAATGTGAACGCAGGACACTTGGTGACTAAAGTCAGGGCCTATGACGCGGACATCGGATATAACGGCTGGCTGCTGTTTTCACTGCAGGAAGTGACTGACCACAGTCTGTTTGGCTTGGACCGCTACACAGGACAGATCAGGACACTTCGCTCATTCACAGAGACAGACGAGGCCCAGCACAAACTCGTCATACTGGTCAAAGACAATGGCAACGTGTCGCTCTCAGCTACAGCTACTGTGCTTGTCAAAGTGGTGGAGGCCAGAGAGGCGTCTGCAGCTTCTGACGTGAAGAGCTCCGCTAAAGACGCTGAGGACACTAATGTGACTTTTTACCTGATGATAACTCTGGCCTCGGTCTCAGCTCTGTTCATTATCAGTATCATTGTGCTGATTGCAATGCAGTGCTCCAAGTCCAGCACTGACTACACGTCCAAGTACTTACAGGACACAAACTATGACGGGACTCTGTGCCACAGCATCCAGTACAGATCTGGAGACAAGCGCTACATGTTAGTGGGACCCAGAATGAGCGTAGGCTCCACTATAGTCCCAGGGAGCCAAGCCAACACACTAGTGCTGCCGGACAGGAGGAGGCCCTCTGAGGAGGTAAGAGTCAAGTTATTGCGATTGCATAAAAGATGAAAGTTATTTATGAGCCAATATTTGATCTTGTTGTTTTACATTGTAATCGAACATGTGTGTTTAGGGTATTGCATTGATTAAAAATTGTTTATTATTGGTTTTAACTTTTTACGCAACAAAGTGGCTCAATTGCGAATTTAGATTCTGACTTTCACTTTATCTACAGCGGCCTGACTTATGATAAGATTATATAATCTTTATGGATAAAAAAAAGTCTTTACATGTTCATCATTACGAAATTGATCAGTTTGTTTGTTTACTGTTTAATTGCGTGTTCTTCCTTCTCTTGTAAAATTTCCGACTTTCGTTTGAAACATATTTTCGTCATTATATTGATATAGTGCGTGTTGTACAGTTCAAACAAAGGTATAATTCCACTGGAGAAAAAAAAACAGAAAAGATTCTTTATTCAAAGACAATACATTCTAGAAGAGTAGACTAAGGTTTCTGAGCTCTCTCACACTCAAACATAAATGGCCCGATAGCGCCACCTGTTGGTACACTGGTGACACTGAATGGACTCTGGTTATGGTTTTTAATTCATGACAATGCAATGTCACGTGTCCAGTGTGTTGAACGGCACCGTGAATTAGCTTTAACCGTTTAGAAATACAGAGGAGTGTTCCTTTACTCTATTGTGTGTTTTCACGAACGCTGTCCATGGTGCTGAATGAGACAGTATTTCAGTTGCACCTTGTTGTTTAAATGTTTTCCTGCTTCGTTTTTGAACTATTAGTTAAAGGCTGGGCTCGATGTAGTTCACATTATTATTGTTATAACATATTAAATCAGCACTTCTTTCTTTGGCCTCACGGTGGCAGTCTCCAACAGACAAACGTCTCCACTTGTTTGTCCCTCCTCTCGCAGCGCTTTGTTTCCATTTTACTGAAGCGGATAGGTCACTTGTGCGTAGCGTTATGCGGACTATGCTTTTTGTATCACGTTTTTATTTCATTAGATGCTTTTAAAGGGATTTTAGAGGAAAATGAAGCGGTCTTTTCTACCAGGGATCTGCTCTTGGATCGGTTTGTGCTCAGTTCTGCTGCTGTGTTTCGGACAGTGCGCTGAAGCTCAGATCAGATACTCTGTCCCGGAGGAGGTGAGGGACGGGACTGTTGTTGGAAATGTCGCAAAGGATCTTGGTCTGGATGTGTCCTCTTTGCGTGAAAGACGGTTCCGTGTTGTTTCTGAATCAAATGAAGATATTTTTGCAGTAAACGCAGATGACGGCGCTTTGTACGTCCACGGCCACATTGACAGAGAGCAGCTGTGTCAGGGCAGCGGTACGTGCCTGATGGAGCTGAAGGTTCTGGTAGAAAACCCTTTGGAAGTTCATTATGTGGTTGTAGAAGTCACTGACGTCAATGATCACGCTCCCACTTTTCCTAAAGGAAACGAAACTATAGAAATAGGGGAACTAACACCGGCTGGAAAACGATTCCAGCTTCACCCTGCTAATGATCCTGACGCAGGAGTAAACTCTATTCGAACCTACACGTTGTCTGCTAACGAACATTTTGACATCAATATCCGCGAAACAAATGATGAAAAAATCCCATTTCTGGTGCTGAAAAAAATGCTGGACAGAGAACAAAGCAGTGAATATTTTCTGGTGGTGACAGCAGTTGATGGAGGTAAACCCCGAAGATCAGGGACACTGAATGTTTCCATTATTGTTCTTGATAGTAACGACAACATACCAGTTTTTAGTCAAGAGATTTATGAAATTACAGCGAAAGAAAATTTAAAACCAGGAGCCTCTATTTTTAGGCTCACAGCAACAGACCCAGACGAGGGAACAAATGGTGAAATTGAATACAGATTGTCAAAATCATTGAAGCAAAAAATATATGATACTTTTGAACTAGATCAAAAAAAAGGTGAAATTGTTTTAAAAGGCCCGATGAATTATGAAGAAAATTATTTCTATGAATTAGAAGTGCAAGCGTCAGATAAAGGCACGCCCCCATCGACAGGAGAATGTAGAGTGATAATAAAAATCCTAGATGTTAATGATAATTCCCCTGAAATAGAAGTGACCTCTTTGTCAAACACAGTGTCTGAAAACTCCAAACCAGGGACAGTAGTTTCTCTCATCCGCGTCAAAGACAAAGACTCTGGAGTGAATGGTAAAATCATCGCTCACATCACAAACAACGTGCCTTTTGAGCTCAAACCCTCGTATAAAGAAAACACATATTCAGTTGTCACTAAAGACTTCCTGGACAGAGAGAAGGTTTCTAATTATGACATAAGAATAAAAGCCACTGACTGTGGAGAGCCTCCTTTATCCACCACTAAAACTCTCAGTATTCAGATATTAGATGTGAACGACAACAGTCCACAGTTTGAACACAATCCTCTGTACATTTATATAGTAGAAAATAACGCGGCAGGGACGTCCCTGTTCTCTGTAACTGCAACAGACAAAGATAAGAATGAAAACGCACATGTTTCCTACAGCATTGCGCGTTCAGGACAAGAGAAGAACGTGGCGCTCGTTTTAAACGTGAACGCTGAAAATGGTCAAATCACGGCCCTGAAAAGCTTTGACTTTGAGACTTTAAAGTCGTTCCAGTTTCAAGTGGTGGCCTCAGACTCTGGGACTCCGTCACTGAGCAGCAACGTGTCAGTGCATGTGTTCATTCTGGACCAAAACGACAACGCTCCAGTCATTCTGTATCCAGTCAGCTCTAACGGTTCTGCTGAAGGAGTGGAGGAGATCCCCCGCAATGTGAACGCAGGACACTTGGTGACTAAAGTCAGGGCCTATGACGCGGACATCGGATATAACGGCTGGCTGCTGTTTTCACTGCAGGAAGTGACTGACCACAGTCTGTTTGGGTTGGACCGCTACACAGGACAGATCAGGACACTTCGCTCATTCACAGAGACAGACGAGGCCCAGCACAAACTCGTCATACTGGTCAAAGACAATGGCAACGTGTCGCTCTCAGCTACAGCTACTGTGCTTGTCAAAGTGGTGGAGGCCAGAGAGGCGTCTGCAGCTTCTGACGTGAAGAGCTCCGCTAAAGACGCTGAGGACACTAATGTGACTTTTTACCTGATGATAACTCTGGCCTCGGTCTCAGCTCTGTTCATTATCAGTATCATTGTGCTGATTGCAATGCAGTGCTCCAAGTCCAGCACTGACTACACCTCCAAGTACTTACAGGACACAAACTATGACGGGACTCTGTGCCACAGCATCCAGTACAGATCTGGAGACAAGCGCTACATGTTAGTGGGACCCAGAATGAGCGTAGGCTCCACTATAGTCCCAGGGAGCCAAGCCAACACACTAGTGCTGCCGGACAGGAGGAGGCCTTCTGAGGAGGTAAGAGTCAAGTAATTGCGATCGGATTAAGCACTATAGTTCTGTATGTGCTTTCATTTGATAATCTTATTTTTTCATTTTAATTGTTTAGGGTTTTTTTTTTCTCAAATGACATATTTACTGAATTTGACAACCAAAATATGAAAAAAATATGAGCAATCTTCATTGATTTTACCAAGGCTGTCGATACCGTTGATCACTTCCTCGTACTGGACAAGCTGCACTCAAAAGGTCTAAAAGCACTTTGCTACTAACATTTAAGAAAACAATCTACATCAGTTTGAAGTGTATTCTCCTCTACCACAACAGTAAGAGGAAGTCTTCAAGGGTGCACATTGGACCAGTTTTATTCTCTCTATACATAAACAATCTACCAAAGACGATAAGCAAATGTAATATTCACTTTTATGCTGATGACACAGTTATCTTCTTCTCTCATAACAACTTATGCAGGAATGAGGACCATTTACAAAATTAGCTTATCCAAAATAATCTTCTCATTAACAGTAAAAGTGATATGTTGTTCAAGAAACAAATGAGTATAAACCTACATAATCTGTCAATTCATTATTTGGATGAAACTCTACTGCAGAATACTGAAACCTTCAACAATCTCAGACTTTGGCTTGATCCAGAACTCTCTTTAAAACGACACATAGATTGTTTACTAAATAAAACCTACGTTCTTCTGGCTCAGCTCCATAGATTAATTTTCTGCTTCACATACAACATTAGGAAAAGAATAATTCAGCAACTCGTGCTGCCAATAATTGACGACTGTGATAATGTCTATCAAGATACCACAGATACTGTTCTTTTTTTTTTTTTTTTTTTCAAAATTTGTTTATTGTTTTTTCCAAGATAATGTACAACATTTACATACCATAACAACAGTAAAAAGAATAATTATTCGTAAATTTCTTCTGTAATAATAAAACAAGAGAAATATGAACCAAAAGAAAACAAAAATAAAATAAAATAAAATAAAAAGCCATCAATCGCCATTAGAGTGCCATGAAAATTAAAGATGAAATAACAGAACTGAAGGAGGGACCTCCGGGAAGGTAAAGGATTAAATCACATTTTTTTTAAAAACCTATTATAAAAAATCCAGAAATTAATCTGGGACAGAAGGGAAGTCTAAGTGTTGTACCAACTGAAACAGTGGTTGCCACGTCAGTTCAAATCTATCGACAGACCCACTCAGTGTCATACGGATTTTCTCCAGCTTGATGAAGAATAAGACGTCCCTAAACCACTGTGTCCAAGACGGAGGCTGTGAGGACTTCCACTTCAGTAGTATCACCCTTCTTGCCAGCAGAGTCATAAACGCAAGAGAGTCTCTATTTGATTTGGACAGAGAGGGTGGTCCCACGAATACACCAAAAAGAGCGCTCAAAGGATTAGGGTTTACCTGATTGCCCACAACAATTGAAATATGAGAGAAGACTTCTGTCCAGTAATCATGAAGTCGTGGACAGAGCCAGAATGTGTGAATAAGGTTGCCTGGAGCCTGCTGACATCGATCACAAGTTGGGGACACGTTTTGATATATTTTGGACAAACGGTACTTCGTATAGTAAACACGGTGAACAAGTTTGCATTGTATAAGGCTATGCCTAGCACATATTGAGGACTTGTGTACACGCGCTAGAATTTCTGACCATAGCTCCGCAGATAATGCCTCACCAAGATCCTCCTCCCAGAGAGCTTTTATTGATGAAAGAGAATTGGAACGAATAGCTGCAATCTGATTATAAACTAATGAAATGGAGCCTTTTAGCGAAGAAGGAGGCCTGAGAAAGATATCAATAGTGGAGTCTTCAGGTAAATTTGGAAACGAGGCGAAGTTACTATTAACAAAACTGCGAACTTGTAGGTATCTGAAAAAATGTTCCTTTGGGAGAGAATGTTTCTCCGACAGTTGCTGGAAACTTGCCAAAACACGATCAATAAATAAATCTTTAAAAGTGTGTAAGCCTAAAAGTGACCAGTTTAAAAAAGCTTTGTCGACAAGAGAGGGTGAAAAGAAATGGTTACCGGCTAAAGGGGCATTATGGGAGTAAATCTGCAAGCCAAAGTGACGTCTAAATTGGGTCCAAATTTTAAGAGAAATTCTTACAACATGGTTTTTAGTATATTTTTTGGTTTCACTTTGTAAAGGTGAATATAACAGAGCTGAAAGAGACACTGGTTTTACAGAGTTTTTTTCTATGGTGAGCCAGGCTAAAGGGGAGACATTCCCCAGACGAAGCCAGTATTTTATGGTCCTTATATTACAGGCCCAGTAATAATGCCTAAAGTTTGGCAACGCCATCCCTCCCAATGGTTTCGGTCTCTGTAAATATTGCTTTGAGAGCCGAGAGATTTTCTTATCCCATAGAAAGTCTGAGACAATTGTATCCAATTGAGAGAAGAAAGAGCATGGCAGGAAAAGGGGGATGCACTGAAATAGGTATAAAACTCTAGGCAAAATATTCATTTTCACACAATTAATGCGAGCTACCAAAGATAATTTAAGTAGAGACCAGCGTTCAAAGTCTTCTTTAATTTTCAAAAGTAAGGGAGAAAAGTTTGCTTTGAAAAGGTCCCCTGGTTTGCGTGTAATGTTAATTCCCAGATGCAAGAAACAACTCGATGCTATTTTGAAGGGAAAACCACTCAGGTCAGGCGTATCAGCAGGTGAATTCAAGGGAAAAATCTCACTCTTATTTAAATTGAGTTTATAACCAGATAATTTACCAAAGTCAGATAGTAAGTGTAAAACTGCAGGTGTTGAAGTTATGACATCAGAGACATACAGAAGCAGGTCATCAGCATATAGAGAGACCTTTGCCTCTAAGTTAAATCTTCGTATGCCTTTAATATTTGGATCGGCCCGAATAGAAATAGCCAGGGGTTCAATAGCTAGAGCAAACAGGAGGGGACTAAGAGGGCAGCCCTGTCTGGTAGACCGCTTTAGCGAGAAGTAACCCGAGCGAGAGTTGTTGGTCCTAACAGCGACCAATGGATTAGAGTACAGAAGTTTAACCCAGGATAGGAATGTGTCTCCGAGACCAAACCTTGTCATAGTGTGAAATAAATATGGCCATTCCACACGATCAAACGCCTTTTCAGCGTCTAGCGATATCAAGGCTTCCTGTGATTTATTCTGGGGGTTATTATGTATTATGTTAAAAAGTCTCCTCAAATTTGAAAAGGAATGTCTGTTTTGAATAAAACCGGTTTGATCAGGATTAATGATGACAGGTAAGACTTTATCAAGGCGTTTGGCTAGGATTTTTGATAGTAGTTTGAAATCGACATTTAACAAGCTTATGGGACGATATGAGGAACAAAGTAAAGGGTCCTTTCCTTTCTTCAGAAGGAGCGAAATTACAGCTTGATTGAGTGTTTCTGGCAGCGTACCATGAGAGAATGATTCAGTATACATATCCAATAACAACGGTGTAAGTTTATCCTTAAATTTCTTATAAAATTCTGATGGATATCCATCCGGGCCCGGGCACTTCCCACTCTGGAGGGACTGTATTGCTACACCAATTTCTTGGGATGTAATGGATGCCCCAAGGTTATTCGCTGAATCCTCACTAATGGTAGGAATTTGAAGGGGTGAAAAAAAACTATCAAAGTCCTCATCTGTAGGCTTAATCTCGGACGAGTATAAGGACTGATAAAAGGCTTCAAAAGTCTGATTAATTTTGGAGGGATCCGTAGTTTCCCCTTGACTAGTTTGAATCTTAGCTATTTGACGGGAGGCGGAGACCTGACGGATCTGATGAGCCAGCAGTTTACCGGCTTTATCACCATGTTCGAAAAATTGTGTATTAGCCTGAAGCATAAGTTCTGTTGTGTGCGAGGTCATGAGTACATCAAATTCAGATTGGAGAGCGAGACGTTCTTTATAAATGTTCGGTGAAGGCAAGGCTGCATATATGGTATCTAGCTGCAATATTCGCTGCCTGATACAGTTTAATTTTTCATCTCTTATTTTGTTCTCAAAATGTACAAAGGAGATTATTTCCCCTCTAATATAAGCCTTAAGGGACTCCCAGAGCAACGAAGCAGACATTCCTGGCATTCTGTTGGTACTCAAGAAAAAATCTATCTGATTTGAGACAAAGTTAATAAAATTATCATTTAGGAGTAGCCGAACATTGAGGCGCCAAAGGGGGCGCTGGTATAAGGCTCTCAGTTTTATATCCATCAAAAGAGGAGCATGGTCAGAGAGAACAATGGCATCATATCTACACAGAGATATCATTGATAGAAATCGATTATCGACTAAAAACGGTCAATGCGCGTAAACGTGTGATGCACAGAAGAAAAGAATGAGTATTCTCGCTTGGAGGGATTCAAAAAGCGCCAAGAGTCAGATATAGAAAACACGTCCATAAAATTTTGAATTGTCTTCGCTGATCGTGAAGGTGCAACTTGTTTAGTGGAAGAGCGATCTAGAGCGGGGTCTAGCCAGCAATTAAAGTCCCCTCCGAGTATTAAATGATAAGCAGACATATCGGGAAGCAGACAGAAAAAACGCTTAAAAAAGGACTCATCATCACAGTTTGGTGCATAGACGTTGGCCAATGCAATATTCAAACCCAGGAGCTTGCCAGTTACAATAACGTATCTGCCATTAGGATCAGGGAGAACCCGCTCAAGAACAAAGGAAATAGACTTATGAAAGAGAATCGCTGTACCCCTAGCCTTACCAGAAAAAGATGAATGATACACTTGGCCCACCCAGCTTTTCTTTAACTTCAGGTGATCAAGGTTCTTAAGGTGGGTCTCTTGGAGGAAGACTATTTGAGCACCAAGCTGCTGTAGATGGTGGAGCACCTTACTGCGTTTCACTGGATTATTAAGTCCTTTGCAGTTAAAGCTAGCGAACCGGAGGTCCTTTCCTACTGAAGACAACATAATGGTAAAATCAAATTATTGCATTCAGGTTGTCCCGCAAACTTATATGAACATATTATGGACACATCAAATGTAATAATAGCAGTGTAGAGAAG